TTTTTTTTCTTTCTTTTTCTGAGATACAGTCTTACTCTGCCCAGGATGGAGTGCCTTCCAAAAGTGTCAAGATTACAGGCATGAGCCACCACACCCAGCCTCTTGTTATATTATCTTTTAAAGCATTATGACAATTTAATTGTGGTAGTCATTATTACCTTAACCTAGATTTAATTTGTTCAGTTGATTTAATATTTGCTTCTACCTTTCACTCTCTGCCATAATAATTTTTTGGATCTGTACTTTTCCTGATTCTAACACTAAGAAAGTAGCACTATTAAATAGTACTTTATTGTTAAAATTAAAAGGCCCACACAGAGCCATTTTTGCCAGCATGCTGGCTGATAGCAACAAACCCTCTCCTCTATTATTCTAGTATCAAAATGTCACACTGTACCCAACTTAAGACTACCCTCTGCTGCTGCTCTACGATTCACTGTTAATTGGTATGCTCCTCCCTTCCTTCTACGTTTAGCTCAAGGTGTGATATTCAAACCCTATTCCCAAAATGGTATGCACTTGAATTTCAATTTTCTAAAACTGTCATATTATGCAAAAGAATTATATTTCTCTAAATTACAGCAATTTATCTAGGGATTTTGATGGAGATTTACTAACTAGTATCAAATGTGCTAAAAAAAATGAAATCTAATGAGATATAGCTCTTTTATTTTAGACTTAACATTTACTTTTCATGCTCTTTCAGGTTAACTGGTTGCTGGATTTAGTACAACAACTAAAATCTTCTGAATTTTGCAAACAATGTTGTAAATGTCTTTGCTTTCACCTAAATTCTAATTTATGAATTTTCACTAATCATACTGTAAATATATTCTAATCGAGTTCAAACTTTTTTTAAACCAACAATTAGCAGAATTATCCATTTTCTAATAAACTGCATTTATGGTAAAGGATACCCAGAGAGCACTGTGTCACTTTTTCAAGGTCATGAGAGGTTCTCCTGTAGGATCAAAAAATGTTTTAAAACTAAAATTAAGTCCCTAGGACAGTACTTCTTATCAAAAAGGAAAAGAGGAAAATAAATCACAATACATAAGCTTTTTTTCAAGTATAGTTTGATGCAAACTTGGAAAAGAAAATTAAAATATACAGACTGTTTTCATTTTCAGACATGCTATGACCACACAGTATACTGGCAGTAAAAACATTCATTTCTACATCCACAAGTAAACTTCAGGCTCAGGGAAATAACCATAGTCGTCTCTCAGTATCGGTGGAGGACTATTTCCAAGCCCTCCCCAGGTATCATGAAGGACTGGTTCTAGAATCCCCCGACGGATAACAAAATCTGAGGATGTTCAAGTCCCTGATATGAAATTGCAAAGTTTGCATATACCTAAGCACATCCTCCTGTATACTTTAAAGCATCTCTAGATTACTTGTAACACCTAACATAATACCTAGCATCACTTCATCCACATGGATCCAACATAGTATTCAGTGTGTGGCAAATTTAATTTTTGCTTTTTGGAGCTAAGTGAATTTTTTGCCCCTTAATATTTTCAACCTGCAGTTGGCTGCATCCATAAATGTGGAACTTACAAATTCACAGAGCCAACTGTATTAATGATGTTGCCTTAAAGAAAATATGATCCAATTCTCAAGCCAGTTAAAGATACCACAAAAGATCACCGATCTTTTCTATAACACATGTACAAAAATGCCAAATAAAATACAAAGAAATCGCAACAAATACATTAAGACAAATGCCCATGACCAAGGAGATTCTTGCAGAAACACAAAACTATTACACTAACAGGCTAATGAAGAAAAATCCATTTTTATTTAAACAAATTACAAAAAGGCATTTGAGTCAATATCCATTCCTAGTAAACACATAAGATTCTTCCTTATAGCAAAACAGGGCATTCTTTCTAAATCTAGGAATAAAACCAAGGGAAACCATGCTGGAATGGGAATGAATCCCACTCAGATTAACAAAGAAGACAATCAATTCATTCCTCAACTCTGCTTAGAAACTTTTCGTTACTACATCTGTGCTCCCAGAGTTCTCTGTGAAATAATGTTTCACACCTTTTATAATCACTGGTTTATATATCTTTTTCTCCTCCTTGACGGGAAGTTACTTGAGCAATGACCACAGGTTAAGTATCCCTCATCTGAAATACTTGGAAGTGTTTTGGATTTTTAAAGAGTTTGTAATATTTGCATAGACATAATGAGATATTTTTGGGAACGGACCCAAGTCAAAACATGAAATTCATTTGTTTTACATAAAGCTGGTACACACAGCCTAAAGCTAAAATAATTTTGTGCATGAAACAAAGTTTATGTACATTGTTTTATCAGAAGGTAAAGGTGTTAGGTGTGAAATTGTTCACTTGTGACATTATATTGATACTCAAAGAGTTCGGGATTATTTCAGACTTCAGATTAGGGATGCTCAACTTGTAGGAGCTCCTTTCTGTACCAGCATCTAATATAAATCCTTGTTCACACAGATGTTTAAAAATGTCTGCTAAAAGAAGGAAGTTCATAAAAGATACATGGAACCATTTAGGGGCTATTTCAGATAATATTTGAATAGAGAGAGAGGCAGCTCCCAAATGTGAAAAAATAGATATTCCAAAAGGTTTTTACTCAAGTTATAACACGACCTCAAAAACAGTAAGATATTTTTCACTTGATAACACTGTACTAGGTTGGGCGCGGTGGGGCTCACGCCTGTAATCCCAGCACTTTGGGAGGCTGAGGCGGGTGGACCACCTGAAGTCAAGAGTTTGAGACCAGCCTGATCAATATGGCAAAGTCTCATTTCTACTAAAAATACAAAAAAATCAGCCAGGCATGGTGGTGCATACCTGTAACCCTAACTACTCGGGAGGCTGAGGCAGGAGAATCACTTGAATCCGCGAGGCAGAGGTTGCAGTGAGCCAAGATCGTATCATTGCACCCCAGCCCAGGCAGCAAGAGTGTAACTCTGTCCCCCAACCCCAACACACACACACACAATAAAAAACAACAACAGAAACACTGTACTATTGTTCATGTGGTATGATAAAGCACAATTCTGGATGAGAACAAGACCAATATTAGAGGCCAGGGAAAATAAGTTTTACAATATACTTAAAAAAAAACGAAAAGTGCTGCAATACCACACGAACAGAAATATTATTGGAATAGTATCTGCCAGCATAATAAACTCTTGATATACATAATACACCCCAAGACTTTCATGATTTCCCAAAGTCCTAAAGCTTTCAAATACTACTTTAATGTTTTTGTTTTTTTTGAGATGGAGTTTTGCTCTTGTTGTCCAGGTTGGAGTACAATGGCTCAACCTCGGCTCACTGCAACCTCTGCTTCCTGGGTTCAAGTGATTCTCCTGCCTCAGCCTCCTAAGTAGCTGGGATTACAGGTGGCTGCCATCACACCCAGCTAATTTTTGTATTTTTAGTAGAGACAGGGTTTTACCATGTTAGCCAGACTGGTCTTAAACTCCTGACCTCTGGTGATCCACTTGCCTTGGCCTCCTAAAGCTCTGGGAATACAGGCATGAGCCACCACACCTGACCAAATACTGCTATGGTGTTTCACTTTCCCTATAAAACTCAGTGAAGTGTAACTGACATCTAGGTGACATCTTCAAATCCTCAGTGTTCCTAAAAATATATTACTAATAATTTATAAAGTTATGTAAATAAATTCTGCCTCTGAAAAGATAAGCTACCACATCAATACTGTAGCAACATTAACCAACCACAAACTTACCTGAATCTGTAAAACCACTTTAATTTATCCAAAACGTCTATTTTCTGGCTAAGAATCATCACTCTTAGACCTCTTCATTTTTTCTTCACTTCCATCACCAGCACTAGCAGTTGGTTTTCTTTTCGGGCTCATATTTCACAAAGAAACAGCTTTTATCACTTGGAGAGTTACTGTGTACGCGATGACAAGCAAAGAAAAACAAAGCTGCGTTGAGATGTGGGTGCTGGCCTGTCTGATAGGCTCCCTCTGAGCTACGTGATCAACTCC